AACAACTAAACGGACACAAATACATAGTTTAAAGTGGCACCAATAAGAAATATTGCATACATAAAATTTTATGCCATGTTGTGCATGTGCGCATGTTGCGGTTCATGCTGAACCGCAACATGCATACGCCGGTGCACTAAAGACCTATGAGCGCATCCGCCAACGTTACTACTGGCGGGGTATGTACACATTTGTACGCAAACACATTCGCTCATGTTTCTTGTGTCAGCAGTGCAAGACATTTCCTCATTCGCTCGGTCAACTGCAGCCTTTACCATGTCCTGCACGCCCTTTTGACCGTGTCGTGATTGACCTATACGGCCCGCTACCATGCTCTGTTGCTGGTAATCGATGAGTGATTGTGGATGCCGACCAGGTACGCCAAAATGGCAGCGCTACCATCGGCTGGTGCTCGTGACGTCACAACCTTTATCTTGCATTGCTTCGTTCTCCGTCATAGTGCACCACGCGAGCTACTGAGTGACAAAGGTCGCGTACTTTTGTCCGAAGTTCTGCAGCAGCTCCTGCATTCATGCCGTATGGTACACCGCAGATCAACAGCCTATCGTCCTAAGATGAACGACCTAACGGGACGTTTCAATAGAGCCCTGGGAGACATGCTCGCTATGTATATTGATTTCCACCTCTCCAATTCGGACGCCGTTCTTTCTTTCGGGACGTATACGCTTACAATACGGCGATTCAATCAACAACAGGCTTTTTTCCATTTTTTTTCTTTTTATATGATCGTGGGCCATGCAGCGCACTCGACAAAATTCTGCCATACAGTCCTGATGCCTCCGAGTTCAGTCCAGTTTCTGAATTGACCGAAAATGTCGAAAAGTGTCGTCAGCTTGCACGGTCCTTGACAGCTGTTAATTAAGCCCTCCAAAAAGATCGCCATGACCGTGATCTTCTTCAGGACACTTTCCCCATCGGTTCTCTCGTGTGGCTCCGACTGCTTTTCCACTCTGCTTGACTGACTCCCAAGTTTGCACCGAAGTATACTGGCCCCTACCGCATCATACAGCGCCCTTCTTCTATCACCTATGTGATTGAACCGCTCAAGCCGTCTACGGACAAGCGCCGCCTTGGCCGTGAGAAAGTCCACGTCAGTCGCCTCAAGCCCTGCTATGACCCTCCTGTTCTCTCGTCACCTTGAGTCGCCAGGATGGCTCGTCTTCATCGCCGGGGTATTGTAGGGGGTGGGGGATTCGTAAGGTAATGAGCAGTGGGACCTTCTCTTAGTGCGAAGTGCGAGCGTGTGCACGAGCTGTACATGCTGGACTGTTCGAGTATTTTTGTCCGTATCGGCTGTCTGCCTACTACCTGTCATCGCTAAAAAGTCTCTTGCACTATTAATCGCAATAAGATTATCATATCTACGAGAAGTCGCAGAAGTGCTCAGAACTCACATAACTTCTGAAAACCCTAATCACATGCTGGGATAGAATAAAAAAAAAGTGAAATTTGTGCGTGGCGCAGCAGCCATGCGGAGGATCTAATAAAAAGCATAAGGTCAGATATTGCTTTCAAGCTTGGTGCTCTAATTGACGTTAGTTCCCTGTTGTCGCCTTCCGGCCTAAAACCACGCTCGTCGATGAGTCATGCTGGCCGACTCCGTCGTGTAACGCATCCTTAGGAACACCTTTTGAGTAAGGTCGCCGCGTTAATTAAATGACTCCTCCTCGAGGACTTTTGCTTTTCCTTTGTGCGAAAAAGGCTTTGTATGCAAGGCGCCCAAGATAAGATGTGAGGAGGATACCTCCTTTCGTGAACTTTGAGATTTTGGGAAAAGGCGTGCACTTATCAACCGGCGACACACCCTTCACTTGCCTTTAAGCTTCGCCATGTTATTACAGCGCAGGTATTTTTTTTTTGCACAAGTAGAAATGTTGCTTAACTGCAGGATGTTCCGCCATTTCATTAGCGCAGCGCTCAAAAAGGAGTGAGATGAACATCAAGGTTCTTAGCATATCGTTGGCTCCTTCTCTGTCTCGGTCTTTTTCAGGCACAGTGCAGTTGGCTTAAGTTATATATATATATATATATATATATATATATATATATATATATATATATATATATATACATATATACTGCTTGAAGACTGCCACGTGGTGCAGGCCGCGTGGGCGGCTTGCGAAAGATCAGCGGACCACATGTTTGAGAACCCTGTCTTATATAGCAGTCGGTTCATTAAAATAGAAACCGTTCTCGTGTTATCGCCTTCCTTTCAGAATCCTAATTTTTATCGTTTTTTTCTTCTCATTATTACCGTTTTCTCTTGTCCTCTGTTGACCAAGCTATTATATTTAGCACGGCCATTGAAAAACACGTAGTAGTTCCGTCCTTGAGTTTCTTGTACGCTTAAACGTGAAAGTGACATATATAATAGGCGAGTGTGTCACCGATTCACACAAGCAGGCTTCACTATGTAACGCATTTTTATTTCGTTTGTAGCACCGCATAGATGTCGTGCCCGCGGTACGAGCGTTCCTAGTTTTTAAATGCCACTGTTGCCCGCACTCAGTCAGTTAGTCGCCGGATCGTCGCATACGTTTTGTTGAGGAGCACTGCCACACAAAGAATAAAAAAAGCAAAGGAGAAACGTTTTTCCGCATGCTTTTCTGGACCAGTGCGCTTTGATATTTGTTAAAATACGAACCATAACCAACTATGCCGGCATGCCATCGTGCTGGTCACATACAATCTCCGGTACAGCAAGGTCGAGATACCAATATTTTCATTATTGGCTTGACAGTCATCGTTGCTTCGCTATCCCAGGTCTCGAGTCTGCGTTGATAGAAGCGTTTACCGTTGAAAGTATATCCAGTCTGATCCTACGCTTTGTTTGTGTGCGAATGGCTGCTGTATATGTAATCTTTGAAACACCAATGAAATCTTCACTGACATTCCGTGCCAGTTTGGATCCGTGCTTGTTACCGTGTGAAGCCACAGCATTTCTTTTTTTGTCTTTGTTTCTTGATTCAAAAATGACCGCGCTCTGCCTTTCAGCGTTACAGCAGGGGTGGTTACAACTAGACACAAATATTTGTTAAGTTGCACGCTACACTTGTTCTTCAGACAGGCTATTCTATTCTTCTACACACTTCGAAAAAAGAAAGAAATTCACAAGCAGGCATTGCTTGGGCTGGTATTAACACATGTTTAGTTTGCGATTGTTACTTTCAGAAGGATAAAAATGTGTATGTAAGTAAGTTTCCTTGGTAATATCTACCTTGATGTAAAATATCAAAAAAAATTGCAAAGTCAAATTCTGCAAGCTGCAAAGCAACACACATGGGAAGCAGTTAAGTGAATGCACATACGAACTGCATCAGAGGCAAATACCGTGCCTGTTATTTGGCATGCCCCCTAAAATAATAACAATAGACCTCTAAGACGCTCGCGGACTCAAGAAAACAAGAAAAAAACTTGGGAGTCATTTTTAAATACCCCCGTTCTATCTGTTTGCGTGTTCCAGTTGCGGTTGTATGCACTTACAACGTACACACATGTTAACCGTCATGGCTGCTCATCATCAACGCCCATCAAATACTTCCACTGTGTCTACAGCACATGTGTGCATTCGTCGGGGAGCACTAGGTCGCGAGCTCGAAATTCTGGACGTGGAGGCCTTATACGCGCTTGAAATGGGGTGCAAGAATACTCGTGTACAGCTCTTTTGGCTCACATCAAAGAAGCTTGCAGGTTGCAGGGTCCAAACTACTTCGCGACCCCGCTAGGTCATTCTCACACTTAGCAATCGATGAATGAATGAGCGAAGACAGAAAGCAAAAAGCAGGCAAGCAAGCAAGCAAGCAAGAAAGAAAGAAAGAAAGAAAGAAAGAAAGAAAGAAAGAAAGGAAGAAAGAAATAAGGAAGGAAGAAAGAAAGGAAGAAATTAGGAAAGAAAGAAAGAAATGAAAAAAGAAAGAGAGAAAGAAAGAAAGAAAAAAAGGAAGGAAGAAAGAAACAAAGAAAGAAAAAAAGAAAGAAAGGAAGAAAGAAAGGATGCTGTGGCAAAAGCTTTCGGTTAGCTACACGACCCGAAGTGGTGGTCTAGTTGATATAGTACTTGACTGGTGACCTGAAGGGCGCGAGATTGAATTCCGGCCGCGGTGGCCCCATCGTCGACGGAGGAAAAAAAATTCCGCCATATCCACGAAGTGAATGATGATGAGTGGGCGAAGCTCCGGAGGTAAACCTGGTAAACCTTGAATCCTCTGTACATTTTGCCCACTCGATTTTATTACATCGCTCCCCCTAGCGTACGTCGCCGCACTAAATCGAACGATTGCCTTCAACCAATGACACGCGCCATATGTGACATCATTCCTAGTTTATAAGATCTCGCGTCTTTCATCAACTACAAGTACCGCTTTCTAGTTTATAACATCTTGCATCTTTTCATCATCAGCTACAAGTACCACCATCTAGTAAACACTACAAGAACTAAACGAGAGGTGGCTACATACAGGAGACGGTACCGCCATCTAGTGAACACTGCAAGAACTAAACTAGAGGTGGCTACATACAGGGGACGGTACCGCCATCTAGTGAACACTGCAAGAACTAAACTAGAGGTGGCTACATACAGGCTACAGGGGACGCACAGCCCACGCCCTAAGGAGCTTCGCCCCTAAAATGCTTGATGCCGCTCACTTAGATTTACGTGCACGTTAATGTACCCATGGTGGTGGAAATTTTCGCAGTCTTCTATTACGGCGTCCCTCATGATCATATCGTGGTTTTGGGGCGTTAAACCCTAATAAATATTATTATCCGGTTGGCCACAATAGGAAGGAAAAATGGGGGTAGGAAGATACGAGAGGGAGAAGCGAAAACACGGATATGATGGAAACTTTATTTGTGCATGCTATCGTGTCGGGGTCAAAAAGCCTTGTCATGAGTTTTTTCATATATATATATATATATATATATATCCTCTTCAGACCCGAGTGAATTTTTCGCCACACAGGTGAAATCAAAACACATTTTTGGAACATCTACATATACTTTATTGCCCCAGAAAAATATTGCAACTTTAGCATGAACAGATTTCACACACCAGGATGTACATTATAATGCACACTGGGTCTCAGCACATAAGAAAGTGTCAAAATTCACTTTTATCTGAAATTTACTGCTGCTACCAAAAGCGCCATCATTTCGTGTGAAATTGCTTGTAGCAGTTCCGCGCGGTTGTAATGCAGAGAAAGATGTTACATGTTGTGCATCGAAACTTTGTTCGCTGCGAACATCCTGGGTTTCGGCACCTCGATGACGATCCTTGGTTCACCAGTTCTGGCATGTGGTCTGCTTTAGTTGTTCTTTTCGGCTCAGGAGGCAGGGGCACAACCTTAGCTTTTAGCACTTTGCATGGAGGCTCATAATCTCCAGATTCTTCGCTACACCTGGTTTTTGACAACAGGTAGTGTGCAAGCGACATCTTGAACTCGAGCAGTCCAAGGATGTTTTTCTTTGGCACATGAAGAAGAGCAGAGTCTTCTTTGTACTGCAGCCAAGAGTTCACAGCTGCAAGATCACAAATAAAAATTATGGTCCTGACAGTCCACTTTTTTGTACGCTGTGTCGTGGGATACAGGCTTAGCATCCTGTCTGACATGTCCACCCCGCCCATGTTGCGGTTGTACTCCTCCACCACGGCAGGGCGAGGAACGTCTTGGTACACCTTCTCCTTTTTGGACCATCTGCTGCACTGCCCAAATGGTTCCTCACCAACGTGATTTGAGGCAAATGTGATGACCTTGTTGTCTAGCCATTTCACTAAGCAGGTACCCGTGGAGACATTCACGGTTTGTGAACTCGTTCCTCTACCTCGCTTGGATAGGCATTTGTCGTCCTCGAGATTTGCTGTTTTGGGTACACGATTTTTCATAATCGTACCCGTTCCTCGAAGATTCAGTTTTCCAAGCTGTTCAATAAGTGGCAATGTCGTAAAATATCGGTCAAAAAAGAGCGATGTCCCACTAGGCAGTGTTTTTGCAAAGACTTGCACAACATTTGGCCCGAGCCCAAGGTCCGGGCTATTGCCAATCTTGAGGAAAGTTTTCCCCTGGTAAATGTCGAAATCCAAAACGAGTCCACTGGGGCTGGCAATCACGAAGTTTTTCAAGCCTGTTGGGTGAGGCTTTCCAGGCACATACTGCTTGAGTGTAGTGACGCCTGTAAATGGTATTATTTGTTCGTCAATACACACGGAAGGTGGTCTTGGGAGATTGCGGCATGCTGCTTGGACCTCGTTTAAGATCGGTCGGACCTTCCAGAGACGATCGTTCTTTTGGTCTTGTTCGGTATAGTCAAGATCATTAACAACTTTGAAGTTGCTGCGAAGCGTGAAAAACCGGTCTCGGGTGAGGACGTTGGCAATGGCAGGCACCCTTGTGCCCCGTGCCCAATAGAGACGCATCTGTGGGTAGCCAAGACAGCTCATCATCAACGTCGCACCCAGAAAATTCTGCATTTCGGAACATGAGGAATTAAGAATTTTCCCCGTCTTTAGGTGGAACGCGACAGCTGTCTTTTCCTGCATAGTTTCAAACGCGGCGTCTGACAAGTATTGTCGGAAATAGTCACTTGGCCGCCAATGCTGTCTGACATCGGGTGACGTGTCCGGTGCACACCCCACGTCGCTGATGGCCGAGTCAAATGAGACTCCTCTTCTCCACGTAGCGTCTCGAGAGCGCGTACTGCTCGAATTCTGCTCTTCTTCCTCCTCACTGGATACATCTGTAAAGAACGCTCCCCATCAGTCAAATTGAACAACTTTGGTACACCTATAAAAATGGTTAGTGTATCGCTTACCATCAGAGCACTGTGGAAGAGGCGCGGCATCACCGACAACAAAAGAGGGGTCGTCCACTTCATCATCGGACAATTCTATGTCTGAAGTGTCGTTGCTGGCTATTGCTTCCAGGACCCGCTCCGCTTCTTTATCACTGAGTCCTATGTGAAATAAAAACCGAAGTATTACGCTAAAGAGTAATCAAACGCATGAAAACATCAATGCACACACTGGCATACATAGGCATTGAGACCGAGTGTGCATTGTAATGTACACTTCAAGAAAACAGCTTGTGGAAACAAAAATACAGGCCTTTAATGTTGCGCACCATGCAGGAATAACTCCTCAGCACTTAACAACCAGATTATAACAATATTTACAAATCAATACATGACCAGTAGTGAGTATAATGCAACTTACTTGGACGCCGCGAGTAGAATGTCGAAGTCGAGAAAGACGCCATGTTTGACAGCGCAGAACTCAGCTCCCTTTGTGCTATGCCTCCTGTATTTTTCACCAGATGGCAGCACATGATGGGCGATGCGATCGCACATGCACTTTTTGCTACAGAAGTGGCGCGAAATTCAAAATTGAGGTTGAAACAAATGTGCATTTTAATGTACGCGGGGTCTGAATATATATATATATAAGGGATAGAGAGAGGAGATAGTTGGTGCTTGTATGCTCGCATAAGAACCTCTGCGTACTACATCAATGGACAATTCTGTCGTTCTGCGTGTGCTCTCCCGTTGTTCCACCGCGAGTGCTGCGCCGTCGGCCGGCGAGTCTTTATTTCCGCCTGGTCACTGGGCTCGTGTAAGATGGTGGCCTCCTGCATAACGTGTCCCACCGGACCAACTCGGCAAGGCCACCCGCGCGGGAGGGAAGGGAGGGGTGGAGGCCAAGCACAAAGGATTACGAGCGCGCAATGTTTCATCAAGGAATGCACTACGGACCGAAGCTGTCGTAGAGACCGGATGCCTCGCAGATTCCAGCGGCTGCGTTCGCCTGGGCGTGTGGAGGAAGAGTCCCTTCGGCTGCAGCGTCGTCTTTGTTTCAATCTCGGTCTTTTTATTTTTCCTTTTTTTCCTCTTTTATTCGGTGCCACAGAGAATGCCTGTTGAATATTTGCTTAGTCCATATATAAGGTATATACGTCTCACCGGATACATTCCCGCAAGAAAGCAGTGTTTACGTTGGCCGCGTATCCGTTGCGGTATTTTTGTGTATTTCGTGTAGGCCTGACTTTTTTATGTTGGTAGATTGCGTTTGTCTGGACGACACTCCCAATGTTTCGTGTTTTCGAACATTCTGAGCGATTAAGGTACCGCGCTGTTTCTTGAATTGCACGTGCGATTATAATAATGCTGCTCGATGCATTTCGGAGCTCATGGCAAGAAGTAATTTATATATGGCGAAAGCCTTACATTTCTCTGAGTCACGAACTTTTAGAAATTCGGTGAGAGCTGACGACATGCCATGAAACCTTGGTAAGTGGGCGCGTCAAAATAGATGATGCAGAAAAAGAAGGCATAGGAAGAAAAAAAAACTTGGCACTAAATGTCACCCAAATGTTAGGTGATAGAAATTGTGAACGCAGGCGTGCATGCCGTTGGCGGCTTGAACATCATATGATGACCTCAATGCAATATATGACGGAATCAACGACCTATCCCTTTGAAGGCGTCATGATGCTACATATCAACGAATTTCGCGACATTATCATGGCACCAAGAGTACGTAATCACATGACATCGTCGCCTCAGCGGAAGTGCCGATCCCGGGGTCAGTGGAAACCACGTGAGGCAGGAAGTGCTCCGAGTCAGGAAGTCGTTCAAAACGACGTTAGCTGCAGAAGTATTTCGGGTCTTGGAGGGAAGTAGTAGTACAATCGACTCAGAAGAAAAAAAAACCGCAGGGTATCCACGGAGGGAATGACCATGAGTTGAGCGAAACTTCGAAGGGTTTTAACTGTGAATTATCCACTGGCCACGTCCATCCACCTGTCTGCCCATCCGTCCGTCTATTTGTTCGTCCATCCTTCTGTCCATCCATCTGTATGTATGTATGTATGTATGTATGTATGTATGTATGTATGTTATGTATGTATGTATGTATGTATGTATGTATGTATGTAGTATGTATGTATGTATGTATGTATGTATGTATGTATGTATGTATGTATGCATGTATGTATGTATGTATGTAGGTACATCTGTCTGTGTGTCTGTCCGCTCATCCGTCCGTTCGTCGATCTAGTAAACACTCCAATTGCCGCCATCACGCATCTTTTCATCATATATTTATCATATACAAGCACCGTCATACAGCGGACATTCCAAGGACTAAAAATAAAGGGGCTACTACATACAGGAGACGCACGACCCCCGCCTTAAGGAGCTTCGCCCCTTAAAAGGAGATGATGGTAGTCGCCGTCGAGTTTTTTAAGCCAGTGGTCTGTTTTGGGTACTTTGAGCAACGAATACAATATAGCCAAGCGTCAAACAAGGAACGAAGTTGCTTTGTTTGCGCAGCTACTTATATGATTAAGGTGGAGAAGGAAAGAATGTCAACATTGTCTTCCGATGGCATGTTTGCTGTTTACATTGTAGTGTTGTGGCGTAGATTAGGTGGGATGACCAAGATCAGCCTGGTGAGAAAAGCAGGATTTCCATTTAAGAAACTTCAAAAAGTAATTTATTTACATTTAGCGAAAAGGTTTACTGGTCCTCGTTGATCCGGCGCCCGCCATCTCGGCTTTGTCGGGCCCCTCTGGACTCTCTTCGTCCTTTTTACCCCCGTCGGTTCCGCCTATCTCCCTCTCTGACAAGCACCTTGGTCCATTTCACGAAAGACAGGGGCGGCTCGCAGTAAGATCATGGGGTGTGAATTGTTAACACAGAGCCCGACTCCCTTTCAGCTCGAACGGCATAATCGCTCAGTTCTCTTAAGTCGATCCATCCACTTCCACAAAGAGTGCGACTCTTCCGCTTCCAGAAACAGCCTCCGCATTCCGCGGGGCTCAGTTGGGTTTTTTTTGGCAATGCGCCGTGCTCCCTTCCGGGCTGCAGAAATTAGGTGTTTTTTTTTCCTTTTCTAACCACTACCACCAGCAGTTGTGGTGCCAGCGCGCCCGTCTCGCGACACCAGGGTCAGCTGCTAGCATGGCTTCTAGTAACAGTCGCCGCATTTGTGAAACCCAGAGTTGGCGACAGCGCGCCGGTCTCGAACACGTCACTGGCAGCAGGACGCAATATACTCCGCCCCCGCCGGAAGACTCGACTCGAGAGTGGCCAACTGTCAGGTCACCCGAAGCGTCAAGACGATATGTGAAAACACTCAGCCTCTCTGGGCCTCGGCACTCGCGTGACCAGTGACCCTGTCCCTGCGATACAAAACACAAGCACACACACTTTGATCGGCGTGCCTAAGTGACACGTCTACCGGACGCTATAGCTCTCATGATTTTACCCTCTATTTTTTATGGTGATCAGCTCTTTAAAAGAAATTTTAAATGCCGTGACCTCAACCGCGATAGGAACACGTTAGTTATAAAAAAACAGCAACAAGAAAATCAGTGCGACTTCTAGAATCCGCGACTCAGTCAATCGGCATTATTATTCTGGTTCCCCTTTCTATACGTGACCTTAAAGTTATATTGCTGTAGTGTGAGGCTCCATCTCAACAGCGTCTAGTTTTTATTGGACAGTTGCTTCAGCCAGAAAAGGGGGCAGTGGTCAGTCTCAACCATGAGTCTTGTGCCTTCAATATAGCATCCTAGCTTTTGAATGGCCCACACAATAGACAAACATTCTTTTTCCGAGGTACTGAAAGCTTCTTCTTGGGGAGTCAGCTTCCTTCTGAGATAGAGCACAGGATGCTCTTCACCTCTCTTCTTAAGTTGGGCCAAGACGACACCTTGACCTCGGTTGCTGGCATCGGATTAGAAAATGATTTCTCGGCTAAAGTCTGGCATGACAAGTGCAATTCGAGAAGATAAAGCTTTCTTCAAGTTTTGAAAAGCTTCCCTCTCGGTGGTCCAAGTTACCACTTCCGATTCTTGTTTTCGGAGGCTGTCGGTTAGCGTGCTTGTAATCCCCGAATAAATTGAAATGCAGTGCTGGTAATAGCCTGTCATTCCTAGAAATATTCTCACTTGCCTTTTGTTTACGGTCATTGGAAAGTTGACTATCGCCGTCACTTTGGCTTTCATTGGTTTTGTTTTCCGTTTCTTATTTCGTGTTCCAAATACGTGACACGGCCTTGGCCGAACTGACACTTCTCGGCTTTACTAGTCAAGCCGGCTTCTTTGACCCTTTCAAGCACCGTTCAAGTATGCTGCAAGTACGACTACCAGTCATTAGAAAATACGGCCACGTCATCCAGATATGGCGCCGCGAATTCTTCTAGTCCTAGTACCCAAATCAATAACCTTGAAAATGAGAAGGGTGCATTTTTCAAAACCAAAGGTCAAGGTGACGGGCTGATAATCGCCAAAGGGGTTACAAAAACTGCATACCGACTTCCTCGTTCTGTTAAGAGCACCTGCCAATATCCCCTCACTAAATCTTGGGTTGAAATGAATGTAGCCCGGCTTACAAGTTCCACCCTTTCATCTATGTTAGGCAAGCGATGCGCCTGGTCTTTTGTAATTGCATTTAAGCTGCGATAATTAACGCATGGCTGTGGTTCCTTTCCTGGCACCTGAACTGACACCAAAAGGTAGCAATAGCCACTATAGGCTTCTTTGATTACGCCAAGGCGAAACATCTTTTTAACTTTCGCCATCGTTAGGTCCAGCTGTCGCAGAGACATGCGGTATGTCTTCGAGCTAAAAGGTACCTCTGTAGTGAGCTCGATATCATGTTGTACCAAATGAGTCCTTCCGATCATTTCCTCAAAACATTCGCGATATTTTTGAATCTGAAGGCTCTTGAAATCCTCGACTTTAACAGTACCCAACTCGTCTTTGTTAACTGCACACGTGACTATCTGTTCTACACTGGGGCCGGTGTTCCCACAAAAACAAGGTACCTTTGGAGAAACTTCTTCTGAAACATTCACTGCGATGCTAACAATTGCTGCTTGCTCTAAAAATGCCTTCATTAGGTTTACGTGGTATACCCTGCGCTCACATTTTCTTCCGGGTAATCTCACGGTGTGGTTTACTTTCAAAAGGTGACTGATAACCTAGACAGGTCCATCCCTAAGGACTTCCGGCTTATTCTGGCGATTCCACCTCAAGATCACCCCTTTGTCGCCTGTGTTGAATGATCGCGTCCGAGCATTTCTATCATAGTAGCACTTTGAAGCGTTTTCTTTGCCTCTAGGTTGCCTTTCTCGATCTCAAGACACTTGTGTAACCTTAGCATTAGGTTCAACACATACTCCATCGCAATTATACGCCCCCGATCGTCCTCCCACAGTTCGCGGACTAGCCTCAGCGGACCTCGAAGATTCCGGCCGTACACCTGCTCTGCCGGG